ATAATAATGTTGTCTTTTTTGAAACTTTTTTGCTTTTGCATTACCTGATTAAAAACATGTTCCACAAGACGTGTAGTTTAATGATGTTCTATTTGAACAGTTCTTGTTTCAGTATAAAAGTTCCTCAGTATCCAGGCTGTGTGACAGAACCTATCATTAGAACAAACGAGACATTGTTCCTTAAAAGCTGTTGAAATAAATTCAAATTAAATTAAGATGCTCTGATTTAAACCGGACTTAAATATTAAAAAGATAATATGTTTCCAGCTTTTCATTAATAAAGAAAATCTGTAATAAAATTTCTTGAATAATGCACTTCGGGTCCAAGTTTTCATGTACATTAAATTCCACCTTTGAGTTCTCTTCTTGGGTTTACTTCATGGCATGCCTTCATGATTTACTAACAGCCAAGCAAACTGAATGATTTCACTTATACTTATTCCTGCTGGTTCAGTGCTCTCACACAAAATCTCAGTTTTCTGTGAAATGTGTTGCAACTAAAGCCTGTAAAGTTATGAGCTCCTGCAGACAATCTGTTGCTTTAATCTCTCTGTGTAGCAAATGAAACACTGCCCTCAGGGTTTACCCACTCAGAAAACAGTCCTGAAAACTAGTTTGATCACAATAGAAATGAAAAACTCAGACAAGACAGAGGTTGTGGTTTTTGTTGTGACTTGTCGTTATTGAAATGAATTGAATTGAACTGAATTGGAAAGAAAAAAGTATTTGGAAAAGTTCTTATCATCCCATCAAATGGAATATATTTACTGTAAAGCTGAAGAGCTGTATTTACTCTGCTCACAGTTTAGAAACAAGAAGACAGGGAAAGCTCACTTAAAAATCCTCATCAATGTGGAAATGAAATAAAACAAAGGTCAAAAACATTTAGATGAAAAAGAAAATATAGCAACCTTTCTCCTGGCTCAGAGTGAGAAGTGAAATATATATATATATATATATCAGTCAACCCACAATAAAAACAGTTCTAACCTAAAGAGATAGTTCATATCTTTTGGTTTTGAGGAAAGGTTTTAAAAGAATAACATTAAAATTAATTTCTGAGAGTTTTATTGTAATCTATAGATTCAAATATATTTTGCTAATAGAAAGTGGCAATCTAAATTATTTATAACAGTTTGTGCCAAACTGTGACAGCCCTGCTGCTCCTACTAATGATTACGGCAGACAGGTGCGTCCTGTTGTCATCTGCTTCCTTTTAAGGTCTGCCTGAGGCGGACACCAGATTACCTGGAGCAGTTATTAACAGCCAGCGGCGCAGGTGTGAGAGAGAGCCTAGGAGAGACCTACTGAGACACGGGCTGCAGTGGGAGCCAGGTCGTTGTAAGTTCTGGTGCAGGGAAAGAAGCGCACCAGACACGCCGAGTCTGTAGACATCAGTGAACGGGTTTTCGGATCATGAAGGCAGTTACTTCAAGGACCAGGGGCGTGAGGACGACATGCTGGCACAGAGGCTGACGCGGGCTGATTGTTTCAGCTGACGCTGGAGAGACGAGAGCTTCTAAAGAGACGAGAGCTTCTAAAAAGACGAGAGCTTCTAAAGACACGACAGCTTCGGGAGAGACGAGAGCTTCAAGTGAGGCGTGGACATTCCATTGTGAACACAGAAGTTCACCGGAGCACGACGGTTGTCGGGGTGGTGTCCAGGCAGTAAACCTTTCACAGAGGCAGAACTGGATCTGGACCACACATTATGAGGTGGCCCAGCTTGGTGAGATACACGCCCGGTGCAACTGCGCTACGGAGCATCGGCGGGGACAAACTCACATACAGACACTCCTAGACATTTAATAAAATGCCTTCTGAGGTTCTAAGAACTGACGTCCCGTGTCGTGCTTCACAAAATGTGTTTCGGCCTTCAGAGCCGGGGTCATAACATATTTATGGGGGCTCGTCCGGGATAAATATGTTACGACAGTTTATTAAAATCCAAACAAACATCTAAACATGATTGTTTAGCGAGCGGACGAGCCACCATAAATATGTTTTAGCCTTCAGAGCCGGGGTCATAACACAAACCTTTGAGCAAACATGCAGTACAATGTGGGGCTTTTGGAATATGTGATGGGTGTGGCTTTCAGCTCCAACCACTCTTCATTTTGTCTTAACATGATTTGAGTTACAACCATTATTTGTCTTAGACATCCAAGGATAATCAAAAGATGACAAGTTGAAGTTATAGTGTTAAAATAAATCAAATTATTATTATCTGGTTGGTTTCATAAAAGCTGTCCAGTATTTCATGAGATATTTTGCTAACATAAAGAGTTAACTTCTTTAGGTTTTAGTAAAGTTTAACCAGTTAACACTCCAATGGTTTTATAGGCAATGTCTATAAATTATCTGAGTTAGAGCAATTTTTGTGCTTACTTAGGTCAACTGTAGCCATCTTGTGGAGGATCAACTCCAAAAGCTAATCAGTTGTACATCCTCAAGTCCAATGAAACATTTTTTAAATTAAAACAGAATATAATGATTTGGAAATCCTTTTCCACCTACAGTATATTTAAGTGAATGCACTACAAAGACAAGATATTTAATGATCAAATTTAGCAAATACTCACTCAGCAACATGTTCTAAAAAAATCTGGGACAGTACCATACCTCTGTGTAACATCACCTTTCCTTTTAACAACACTCAATAAGCCTTTGTGAACTGAGGACAATAATTGCTGAAGCTTCTGTGATGTATGTAACATGTTTAAAGGATAAACAGAAGGGTGATACTGTTTCTGCACTCTGCTACACTGTTTTATCTGTTGGAGCACCAGATCAGATTCACTGATCCATAATTTATTCACCTTTAAGAAATCAGACTCATATACACACCAAGCTGTGAGATCATAAAATTGCAGGGAACCCATTTCATAAGCAATCACTCAGTGAAGAAGAAACCAATTTCTGTCATTTGGAAATTTATTACAAAAAGAGAACAATCAAACTCCATAGTATAACAAATACAAATTTGTATAAATTACCAACATATGAGACAAAAGTGATAAAGGCGGCTTAGAAAATAGTTAAGAGAGGTGTGAAAATTACTTAAATTAGAGATGTTTTAAAATGAATAAAGATGAACTGAGATTTTAATCTTAGGTTTCAAACAAATAATCTGCATTGCTCCAAAACCTTTTAGCATTAATCAGATGTGAACCTCACAGATGTGCAAGTTTCACACAGGGGCGGACTGGGGCAATAAAGTGGCCCAGGAATTCAGTACCTGACTGGCCCAGTCAAGGTCCGGGCTGGCAGATGACGTCTGCAAATGCTGGAGGCCGATGGTGGAGGCAGAAACAACAAACGTCACCTCAGGGCACTGTACAAAATCTAAGGATGTAATGTTGAGGAATTAGTAAATTTATTAAGATAGCAGAGCAGCAGTTATCTTGCGGCATTGACCCTCAGAGTTCCAATGTATATGGTCATTTTTGACTCATTTTGATTTTACCCCCCAAAAATAACATTATTATAATCTAATGTGGCAGCATTTTCTTTTTCCAGCACATGAACTGTGTGAACTTAAAAACAATTTGTTTGTTTTTTTCATTTGGATATACTGCTTTTGTGTATTAGACCAGTGGTTCCCAAACTTTTTGTCTTCTGACCCACAAAATATCCATGGCAAAAACTTGTGACCCCAAATATTACTGGTCTGAGTACACAAACTTCGTTAATAACCCTGAAAACATAGTTTTTTTGACGATCTAAACAGCTTGTACACAAATATAAATACTTATTTTTACTTATTTTGTGTTTTTCTAATAATTAAAGGAAAAAATATTACATCAGCAATTATTTTATTACCCTTTAAATTGATTTCTGGAGATTATCCAAGGTGCTTC